CCCCCCGGACCCTCCTCCTCCTCCAGAGACCCGTCTTCATCACCTTCATCCACGCTCAGCGGGGCGGAGAAAATCCGGGGTACACCCCGCCCTTACATGACCCAGTCACTGCACCCCCAAATATACTCCTCAACCACCGAACCCCAAAGGAGGAGTCTACAGACACACAGAGATCCAACTGAATACAGACAAAGAGCTGACACTCCGTCCATGCCGACCGTACAGAGGAACGTCAGCAATGATGGGGGACAGCACCCCCTCTCCCACAATGATGGGGGACAGCACCCCCCCTCCCACAATGATGGGGGACAGCACCCCCTCTCCCACAATTATGGGGGACAGCACCCCCTCTCCCCCAATTATGGGGGCCAGTATTCCCCCCCCTCCCCACATACAATTATGGGGGACAGCACCCCCTCTCCCACAATTATGGGGGACAGTATCCCCTCTCCCACAATTATGGGGGACAGTATCCCCCCTCCCACAATGATGGGGGACAGTATCCCCTGTAAAGGACACCCCCAGGTCTATATATTACATTCTATACATCAGCCCCAGAAGAGGGATATCTGAGGAGCAGATAGGGGCAGTTGTGAGCACCAGTACAGGAGTAATATTACCCCCACCCCCCGTTCCTTACCCATATACACACCCCGTATTACATGTCTCCTCTCCGCCTCACATCTAGTGTAGATGGAATCCCCCCCATATAGGAATGGTACAGTCCGCACTCCGCTCATTTATTGGCTGAGTCCCACTGGGGGGAGGCACTGCATGGTCATGTGATCATGGCCGCGATTACGTCATCGGCTACGCTGGGCCGGAAAGCCAGCCTATGAGGTAAGGAAAGAGCACACCCCATAATACCTACAGAGCAACACTCTACACCCCATAATACCTTCATAACAGCACTCTACACCCCATAATACCTACATAGCAACACTCTGCACTCCATAATACTTACATAGCAACACTCTGCACCTCATGATACCCACATAGCAACAATCTACACCCCATAATAACACTCTACACCCCATAATACCCACATAGCAACATTCTACACCCCATAATACCCACATAGCAACACTGCACCCTATAATACCCACATAGCAACACTTTACATACCCCTTCTGTGTGATTAGTGCTTCGCCATTGTTCACATGGTCTCTACAGATGATTGGCTGCTCAGTACAGATCATGTGACTCAGCAATGGTTGACGCAGAGCATAGGACGGTAGACGCAGACCATAGGACCGAGGACGCAGAGCATAGGACTGTAGACGCAGACCATAGGACCGAGGACGCAGAGCATAGGACGGTAGACGCAGACCATAAGACCGAGGATGCAGAGCATAGGGCGGTAGACGCAGAGCATAGGGCGTTAGACGCAGAGCATAGGGCGGTAGACGCAGACCATAGGACCGAGGACGCAGAGCATAGAGCGGTAGACGCAGAGCATAGGGCGGTAGACGCAGACCATAGGACGGTAGACGTAGAGCATAGGACGGTAGACGCAGACCATAGGACGGTAGACGCAGACCATAGGACGGTAGACGCAGACCGTAGGACGGTAGACGCAGACCGTAGGACGGTAGACGCAAACCATAAGACGTTAGACGCGGACCGTAGACGCAGACCGTAGGGCGGTAGACGCAGACCGTAGGACGGTAGACGCAGACCGTAGGACGGTAGACGCAGACCATAAGACGGTAGACGCAGACCATAAGACGTTAGACGTGGACCGTAGGACGGTAGATGCAGAGCATAGGACGGTAGACGCAGACCTAGGACGGTAGACGCAGACCATAGGGCGATAGACGCAGACCATAAGACGGTAGACGCAGACCATAAGACGGTAGACGCAGACCGTAGGACGGTAGACGCAGACCGTAGGACGGTAGACGCAGACCATAAGACGGTAGACTCAGACCATAAGACGTTAGAGGCGGACCGTAGGACGGTAGACGCAGACCATAGGACGGTAGACGCAGACCATAAGACGGTAGATGCAGACCATGGGACGGTAGACGCAGACCGTAGGACGGTAGACGCAGAGCTTAGGACGGTAGACGCAGAGCTTAGGACGGTAGACGCAGAGCTTAGGACGGTAGACGCAGACCGTAGGACGGTAGACGCAGACCGTAGGACGGTAGACGCAGACC